TCATCTACATGATATACATTTCTCTTATAATATATAACAAATCCAACTTAGCATACGATCGCTTAAAACTAGAAAATATGAGAGTTCAACAATAAAATTTAAATTACCTCGTAAAATACTTTTCCTGATTTTTTTCTATGCTCTATAACACACATACTACATTCTGGTGAATTCATATGTACATTTATTATAGCATCAACTCCTTTAGAATATTCATAAACTGACTCTTTGCGAACTTGTTCCATATTTTTAATTGTGATCGTTGTGGTAGCAAAATGACTTAGAATAGTGCTCCGAACATTTAGCATACCGGTTATCCCATTTGTTGGATGAGTTGGAATATCAGAATGATAAATTGCTATTACTCTAAATGTATTCATTTCTAATATCAAAGACATGTTGGTTTGTGAGTAACAAAGAAAAGATTTCCAAATGTAAAAGATAGAATCAGATTATAAATACCTGAAGAAATCAACTCAGAAGATATCTTTTTTAAAAAAGAAAATGTTGATGATATGGAAGTTAAAAGCAGAGGAGTAAGTGAGTCTATGATCAACGTGAAATTGGAGTTTTGTGCTATAAAAGTATATTAGAATACATAAATTACATCGAAAAGTTAGTAGCATTCAGAAAGTAGTATTAGGTTTGTAGAGTGACAAAATTAAATACTTGCACTTGGCAATAATGTCTTGTATCAGTCTTAAAATTATGGACAAATCATCAAGACTTTTTATGACATGTATTTTTGTATTACTGTCAATGTCATCTATGTCATCACTTTCATACGATCCAAGATGGGAATATGCATCAAGAAATATGACACTAGACAATCAGAAAGCATAGAATTTCTTCAATTTTAAATTTTTGTAAAAAAAAAAAAAAGGCAAACCATCTAATTTAGCATTCAGCACATACTTCTTATTCAATGTCATAATTTCAAGAAAATATTGTGGAGAAGACTCAACACAGAAAATAATGATATTTTGTTTACTGTAAACAACAGCCGTTGGTTTTGAGTAAAATTATTTATGTAAATCTTTTTTTTTAAAAAGTCACATACTTGTTCTCTGTAATTTTTTTTATAAATTCTCTTAACAGTAAGCATCCTGACTGTAATATTGTGTCTTCGATAACAGTAAATCCAAAGGATTCTTTAAAATTTAGTAAGCGATTCAACAATGGCACAGACATTGCATAAAATGGCGGCTAGTAAATTAGCATATCTATTAAATTAATCCGGACTGGGTCACCACCAGATGACTAATTAACTACCGTACAGCATATCTGGCGTGATGCGAAACTTTTAAACTCACGTGAATATATAAATGGTATTTTAAAAAATCCATCTATATTATTTGTCACGCTAGATACCATAGTTCGCGCGCTATACAAATTATTATCCAGTATTGAGAAGTAAATTCTATAACCGAAAAGTTGCAATGATTTTAACAGATCAAGCTTTTATTGAACCAAAAAAGCAAATAAACGACCAGCAAGACATCAATAAATTGGTTACTTCTGAGGCATATGTTCGTTTAACACGATTCATTGAACTTCTAAATGAGAGTGTTGTTAATAAAAAGATCTCTGATCCTTGTTTTGTTTCTGAGGTTCGTGGAATTTTTCAGACATCGGAGTTGCATATATGTCATTAATTCAAATTATTTC